CTCACTCTGTCGCCCAGACTGGAGTGCAGTGGCTGCTTCCGGCCACCGCAGCCTCGACCTACTGGGCTCCCACGATCCTTCCGCCTCAGCCTTCCGAGGAGCCGGAATTACAGGCGCGTGCTACCACACCCGGCTGATTTTTTGATTTATTGTAGAGATGAGGTCTCACTAGGCTGCCCAGGCGGGTCTCGGGCCCGCGGGCTCAGGCCATCCACTCACCTCGGCCTCCCAAAGGCACGGGATGACAGGCTGAGCCACCGAGCCTGGCTATAAAATTTTTTATAAATAAATTCTGGGTCTTTGGGGGCCCTTACTTGTATGTCCGTTGCAGCACCATTCACAATAGCAAAAACCAGGAACCAACTCAAATGCCCACCGAAAGTAGACTGGATTTTAAAGGTATGGTAGGTGTACAGGATGAAATACTACACGGCCTTGAAGAAGAACAAAATCATGTCCTTTGCAGCAATGTGACTGCAGGTGGAGACCATCATTCTAAGCGAACCATCATTGAAGCAAAAAACTGAATACTGCATGGTCTCACTCATCAGCAGTTCCTAAACGCTGGGCAAGTGAACACAGAGGGAGGAACAATTGATCTGGGAACTCTTAGCTGGGAGAGAAAGGGAGGGGGAATAAGGGGTACACAACCATCCACTGGGTACCATGTCTACCACTGGGGGAGAGGACTTGTTAGAAGCCCAAACCTCACCTGCAAGCAATTTACTTATGTAGCAAATCCTTATATGTACCCCACAACTATAATAAGAATAAAATGATAATAATAATAATAATAATAATAATAATAATAATAATAAAAGTACTGGCCAAAAAAAGAAAAAGAAAATAGACTTTGGAGGCTGGGAGACATAGATTCCAGCTTTTGCCCCAGGACTTACCAGTCGAGCGATGGACATATAACCTAAACTTGTTAAACCCCCATGCCCTTATCTCTCATTAAACATCTATGAACCTACCTCCCCGAGTTATTACAATGATGAAATAAGATAAAATACACAGTGCAAACTTGTTCCATGGTTGGTGCTAGATACGGTTTAGCCATGTTGATTGTCTCCCGGTTGCCGTGATTTTGTGTGACTTGATTTTCCTTTGACTTTTATTTTCAATTTTGTTTTTTGCCTTTACTCACAATATTTTTCTCTTCAAACCCCCAAAGTAAGCATGTTTCCCAAGGCTTAGATCATATTTTTCTCTCCTCTCCAGGTTTTCATTCTCTTGCTGGCCTTCCACTGTTTTGTTTTCAGCAATTACCTTTTCTTGATGGATTCCAAATCTACTTTGTCAGCACTGACTTTCAACAGTCCTATATATTCAAGTGTCTATGTGACAGCTCTCTTTATAAGTCTTAATGGTACTTGTGAGTCAGCGAGGCCAAAAATTAATCTCAGCACCGTTCTACCAAAATGAAATTCCCATCCTACTTATTTATCTGCTTACTTATCTTTATGGTAGCAAATCTTTCCTAAATCTCTCAGCAGGAAGCCTCAGTATCATTCTAACACCTACTCATCATCAAAACATTAATGTATCCAAGCTATCATCATTGCCTATTGATTTTGTCTTTGAAACATCATCTGGATTCCTCTTTTCCAATTCTCAGTACCCTGTGTAAGCACAGGCACACACTAGAAACAGCGATTAAAACCAGGAATTTTAGAATCAGACTGTCCCAAGTCTGAATCCAGGATCTGCTATCTGTGAGTTATTTGTCCTCAGGCAATATTTTCACCTCCCTTTGAACCTGAGTTTTCCCAACCGTACAATCAGAGGGAAACCCCCAACTTAGCCGTTTAGCATTTCCCAGTTTTTAAAAAACATGCAACTTGCTTTAGAGAAATCTTAACCATTTAGAAAATCACTTGTAATCTGTGTGTGATATATGATGAAAAGTTACCTGGAGTTACAACTTATTTTATCAAATATCATGTAATAAAGTTCATATTTGATTTGCTCTTTGGTAATATTCAGCTTCATTTGATATAATAAAGACACTTTTAAAAATTTACATTAAATAAATTATGTGAGGAAGAAGACATGTTTTGACATATGAATTAAAATGTAATATTGTGCCTGGTTTGATGATAATGTATATTAACATCTAGGAAAAACTGAACGACTAACTCAGTATTGAATGCAGATAGAGACTTCCTGACTTTTTTTTTTTTTCCAATCAGGGTGCTCAGGCTGAAACTTCTTGCACTTTGCACTTAAAGTAAATGTTTTACTTTAATATACTTGTGCTTGTTTTAGACTGTGAGATAAGTGCTTCTCCTTCTATGACACAGTGAGGTCACACAGTGAGGTCACTTTATTACTTATTTTTTGCTAACATAAAAATAAGTAAGCAGACAAATAAATAGGATGGGAATTTCATTTTGGTAGAAAGGTGTTGAGATTAATTTTTGGCCTCACTGACTCACAGGTAACATTAAGACTTATAAAGAGAGCTGTCACATAGGGCTGTTGAAGGTCAGTGCTGACAAAGTCGATTTGGAATCCATCAGGAAAAGGTAATAGTTGAAACTCACTCTATATGTATGATTGCCATGTTTTGTCTTTTACTCTGGGTATTGACTTTTGAAATACTAGCTTGAAATTGATGTGATTTTTTTATACTTTGAATAAAATTGCATTTTGTTGACCTATTTTTAATCAGATCTTTTTCAAGCAGTTTTACATTTACAAAAAAATTGGGTGGAATAGATAGGGCATTTCATCAATAAATGCAACTTCAGATCTGATAAGCATAGACTGGAAGTGAATCTGCCGAGTGATTGAATTTTATAACTGTGACTAACTTGCTATTTTTCTTTGGCATAAATTAAATAACATATAACTGGGAATTAAAAAATTGAAACACGGAATAGCCCAGACTACCACAGCAGCTGGGGTAGCCAGCTGACTGCTTGAGTCAGCCATGAGCACACTCTTTGGATTCCTGGTAACCACCACATACATCCACTCCTGTTAGCCTCATGTTCACAAACCATGGTCCATTCCAAAGGGAAAAATATTTAAATTGTTTATGTTTTCTTTTCCAATAGAAGCAGACATCATTCTGTTTCAAAACATATGAAGATTCTAGGAAGTTTTCACGAAATCCATTTGTGAAATGCTGAGAGAATTAGCACCAACAAAATGGTTGTCATAAGATCCTTGGCACTGCTTTTCTTAGCTTGTGTTCTCAAAAAACACGTGCTGATTGGATTAGTGAGCAAATAAGTAATCAGAACAAGAACTGAGG